AGAGAGAGAGAGTGAGTGAGAGAGTCCTGGTGTGGCACTGTGGGTTAATGCACTGGACTGCAAAGTCATTTGAGCCACAAGGTTGGCAGTTCAAGCACACCAGCTGCTCCCTCAGAAATCTTATACAGAGCTGCTATGGGTTGGAACCAACTCGACAGCACTTAACAATATATATATCACCAATTTGGCTATCAATGTTTTTATAAAATTAGTATATCTACTAAAAAAAAAACATATACCAGTGTTTGAGTATGAGGTAAGGAAACACCAAATATTACCCATTTTTCTTTCAATAAGCAAAGTTGGACACGTTTTTCTTGGTCGAAATTTTCTCAAATCTATTAGTTTTGTCATTATGTCAGATGCCACATACAGGCTAAACAGTACTCCTAGGTGTATGTGGCTACTTGCAAGGCAGGGCCAAGACTCCAGAGCTCAAGCAAACATTCTGGGCACTCTCCAGATGTCTCTGGAATAAATCAGCTATTTACTCTATGTGTATGTGAGTTTGCCAAAGAAGAACTGGTGCTGCGTGAACTGTTTTCTTAGTATTTCTAAAACTCAGGACTGCTATTTATATTTCGTAACAATAGCCTATTCATCACCAAAAATAGGAACCCATTCACTGCTGCTGAGTCACTTCTGACTCATAATGACCCTATAGAAGAGAGCTGAACTGCTCCATAGGGTTTCCAAAACTGTAAAGCTTCATGCGAGCAGACAGCCTCCTGTTTCTCTCATGAAACACCTGGTGGGTTTGATTTACTGACCCTGTGGCTAGCAGCACAACCCTTAACCCACAGCATCGCTAGGTCTCCTAAATATGGGAAGAAAGCTTTGTTCTATAAACAGCATATACTATTGATGCTCTAAAAATTTCCACAAATACAAAATAGCAATGCTCCAAAAGAGACAAAAGTGATGGGATTCAATGGAGACTCTCTGGGCAAGTTATGTATCTAGCTGAGTCTCTTGGTGTGTAATTCCTGGACCCTTCAATCCAGGTGTTGAAAAATGACATTTCTGGAGAGTGTCCAGCACAGTACTTGTTACATAGTAAGGGGGCACTATGGTCAACAGCTTAAAACTACCAGCTGTTCCACAGGAGAAATATGAGGCTTTCTGCTCCCATAAAGATTGGCAGCCTCAGAAACCCTACGCAGGGTCACTATGAGTCAGAATCGACTCCACAGCACACCACCACCACCACCACCACCACCACCACCACCACCAAGTGTCTTGGTGTAGCGCTATGGGCTGAGGCACTGGGCTGTAAAGTCAGTTTGAACTGCCAGGTCAGTGGTTCAAGCTCACCAGTCGTTCCTTGGAAATACTATACAGGGTTGCTATGGGTCAGAACTGACTCAAGAGCACTTAACAACAACAGCAAATGTTGAATGGAGTCCTGGTGTGGTGCTGCAGGTCAGTGTACTGGACTGCAAAGTCGGTTTGAACCGCAAGGTCAGTGGTTCAAGCTCACCAACCACTCCTACACATGCGCACACAAACATATGTTGAATGAGAAAAGTCTTTCTGCAGTGATGGGAGTTGGTTTGAAAGGGAAGCACACAGGACCTTAGTTCTTCCAGGTAAAATGACTTCCCAGACCTTGTCTGACTGTAAAAATCAGCATAAGAAAAGGATTTAGGAGTAATCTATTAAAGTTTTAGATTGTGTAACTGGGAATAAAATGCTCAGAGATAGTCTCCTGTCTGTTCTTTGGCAAATTATTTTGCCCTAAATGTAGACTCCCCCCGCCCTTACTTTCTTTCTTGTATTTTCCTTTTGACTTGCTTATCAGTAGTACAGTTAAAGCTCTCTGATTAGTAAGCGACACCACTAATTAGTAGTACTGCTAATAGTGGCACATTCACCTTACACCAGACCCTTTATAACTTTTTAAAAAGTCGAATACTTTCAGCCCTGTTAGGTGCCTTTCTTAATGCAATTATACCGCTATTACATTATAGTATATAAATATTATACTATCATACTATTACCTTCATTTTATTGATGATGAAATTAAGGTTCAGGGAGATTCCATTGTTGTGCTGTGATTTGAACTGAGGCCTCTCTGACCCCTGAGCTGGAACTCTTGATTACCAAGCCATGTGGCCTCCCTTGCCAATATCTATTTGCTGGAACTCTATTAATTGCTGTGTCAGGACATCTGTGGTACAATGGAAATTGATGTCCGTCCAGATGACGCTAAGATCCTTCTAGACTAAGCCTTCTATACCTCATAAGGAAGGCCTCAGGGCCCCCAGGGAGCATGTTTAATCATGTGACATGAATTTACATTAGGAAAACAAACCACCCTCTACCACCACCATCATTTTCAATTTATTATAAAAACTCAGAAAGCAAGGCAGGACAGAACTTCTGGACTGATGGGGAAGGCTAAGAAATATGAGTTGAGATTTCTTGTAATACATAAAGCAAACATTTCATCACTAATGTTCGCTAGACTTTGGGCGGCATGGATTTTCTGTTACCAGACTCAGTTTCTTTGGGAATTGTTTCATTTTTACAGTGTCCTAAACCTCTCTCTGCTTCCCACAAAAGTCGATGCATCCCTGAAAAGAGCCCCAGCTGGCTAGGCCTGAGTGGTGTTTGTACAAAAAATAAAATAAAACAACGCTCATGAGGGAATATGGTGTGGCCATTCTTTGCATTTAAACAGTCAGCTGCTGGAACTATGGCAACCTCGGGATAGCGGTACCATGATGTCAGGGAAGAAACTTCAGATTCTCGGGTTGTCGGGACTTGAATACAAGCGGTATCTGAATGAGGGAAAGTCAGGGCGAGGGCCTCCCACTGGCTTCTCAGGACTGTGCAATCTGGAGATTCTTTCTGTGCACGCTGTCTTTCCCAATGCTGGTTCAAGAGCCCAGGCTTCCAACTGTCTAGGGCTATGTGTCATTCAATTCCAGTAGGTTTTTCTTAATAGATTTTCACTCTTAAAAAAGTTTTTGTTTAAAAGTCATATGTGCTTATTATTATAATTCTTTCAAAAGTTTGAAGCATTAGGTAGAAAATAGAAGTCACACTGCTCATCACACTGCTGTCCATGAATTTAAAATCAGCATTTAAAAAAAAAAGTCTCAAAATGACAAACTCATCTGGGGAAAGATGCAGGCTGAGTAGGAGGGGGAGTTACTGTTCATTATGTGCTTTTACATGCTTACATTTCGGCCCATGTGTTTGTATCACTGTTTTAATTTCTTAAGTGAATGAGAAAAATTAATTTTAGTGCATTAAAAATATGTTAGTAAATAAATGACTTACTCTTATGCTAAGACAGTCACCACTGAAACACTTATTTGAAAAATAATATTCCACCTAACCATTATGAATTCGGGATATGTAACTCCAGGTGTTGTTGGTTCAGATCAACATTCATCACCACTATTACTATTATAATCATCACTGTGGTGTGGTGCTGCAGATTAATTCGCTAGACTGCAAAGTCGGCGGTTCAAGTTCACCAGCCACTCCTTGGGGTCGCTATGAGTCGGAACCAACTCAACAGCACTTAGCAACAACAATCCTTAATAATAATTACTATTGTCAGTCAAAATAAAAAAATGACTTAGACATTTGATCCAGAACTTGAGTCTGGATGTCAAGTTGTAGCTCAGGGGCAACATCAGCTGTGGCTCAGACCCTCCTGTCCCACATCTGCCCCAAAGGAGTCAGCTCCTCTCCCCCAGGAACCAGAAGCAATGACACCTTGAGTGTGAGTGGTATCCTCAGGACACAAACAAAGCCTTAGTCACCCTGTGGGCTCTGTGGGGATACCATGGGGACTCAGTGCATTAGAGACCACTGTTTCTAAGAGGTTGGGCTTGACCACAGTGAGTGTCTGGATGAGGGTGCCTGGCAGCAGGGAGAGACCAGAGGTCCAGACTTGGGGGAAATAATAACAAACAATGTGCGTGGCTCTGCTGAACCCAACAAGTACTCAGTGAGGCAATGTCCTTATTTAATCACTGAGGAAACTGAGGCACAATGATATTTATGCAACTTGCCCCAAGTCATAACATGCTTTGCAAGTGGGGAGCTTGGGGGGACCTTGACCTGTCTGACTGCAGGTCCTGAGTCTTCTCCTGAAGGAGGAAGTCCAGAATCTGGTGGGGACTAGTGGTTATAAGAGAACCATGATGCATAAATGTCTGCTTTGGTCTGAGATTTGAAACCAGAGGTTTAGTCGGTGTTGAAAATGCCTTACAATCAGCCTTAGAGTTGTGCTCCCTGACCCCCTCATTAAAGGAGACAAGCTCAGAAAGGTGAAGTGATTTGCTCAAGGTCACTCACTGGCCCAGTGATGGAGACCCATTGTGTCACCTTATATAAAACAGTTTCCTTCACCATGAATTTCTCTTAAATATTTTAGTTCTGTATCTACCTCTTTCTTCTCTACCCCTTCCGCAGCATGGGCCTTCAGCTCTGACCTGCTGTCTTCCTAAACAGCAGTCATGACTGGAAATAATCAGCGAGGTCCCAGGGACATTCACGGCAGTGCCAAATTCAGCCTGCTTTCTTTGATGGCTCAGTGACTGCACTTAGCTTTTCCATGTTTGAACTCCCATCACTTTGCATTGGTTTGGTACCTTCTGCTTAGCTTCCTGTTACCCACTGAGCCTGAGCCTTGATGTGGTCCAGATGGAATCACAGGAGAATGGGAATCAGCTAGGCTCCCTAATACTTCCCTGGACCTCTCTTTCTTCTTCCACCCCCTCCTATCTTTGATTCCCTGTCCTTTCCAGGTTGAGCAAACTCTCTGTGATGTCCTGAGGGTGAGTCTCCCTGGTTCTCTCCAGACTAGAGTTCTTCAAAAGGAAGGAAGGTGTGGTAAATTGACAGGCTTCTGAATGTGGCCAGAGGTCTGCAGACAAGAACCAACCGAAAGGATGGGAGCATCTCTCTGGCCAGGGAATGAAATCCCATGGAATCATGCTTCCAGTACAAGAAAATAAACCTACTGTTTCCTGTGGGTGTCTGCTTCTCACTGGGTAGATCATCAGAGACTCCATGGTCATGCCAAAACTAGTTCTTCTGGATCCAGCCCTTAGGAAGGTGACGGGTGTCCCCTCTCTCAATGGTTCTGCCTGGTTGGAACCTGAAGATTCCCTATTTAGGAGACATAACTGACTTTTGGAGTCCTGGTGTGGCACTGTAGTACAAGCACTCCACTGCAAGGTCGATTTGAACCACAAGGTCGGTGGTTTAAATTCACCAGACACTCCTTGTAAATCCTTTCCAGGGTCGCTTTGGGTCAAAACCAACTCACTTAACAACAATAACACAACAACTGACCTTTACTGAAAACCTAGCAGTCTCCGGGAATGCCCTGGAGGGTGGGGCTTATTATGGTCAGTGCTACCTCAGGAACAGGGCTTCCACAGGCTTCCTATGGCCGCTGCAGAACTCTCCCTACCAACAGTCTTCACCTCTTCCCTGGGGCAGGTCCTCCCCAGAGAACTGCAAAACCCTGTCAGCCCTATTATAGAGTTTAGGACAAAGTGAAATAGAGTTTCAGGCTCTTTTTCCAGTATTTGTGAAAGTAGGAGTCATTCATCAATCAGAATTTTTTTTTTTTTTAGCAATTACCATGTGCCTGAGAACAAGCCGAGCCTGTGATGGGTAGAGAAGTATGCCTTATAAGTGCTCTGGATAAGAAATGTTTCCAGAATATTAGCAGGCAGGGTATAACCACATACAGTAGGGTGCCCAACACACGCTCTTTGGAAACAGCCGTTAAGCCTTTTGACCCTGAGCACTAACTAACTCTGTTTCCTCTCAGTAAGAAATGAAAAGCGTTTTAGTATTCCATCTTCTGCTACTTCTACTGGCTGCAAGGTTTCCATTTTGTTGATGTTGGCTTGGAAGCACTGGTGTGGCCAGGAGGCAGGTCTGTAGCTCTGTTCCCATCTGCAGAGCTAAGACAGAGCTAAAACAGGGAGAGGGAACCAAGGACCAGAGTGCCCCAAAGGCCACTGTGGCTGCAGCTGATCAGGGCTACTCAGTGCAAATGAACTGAAGTGTGACTCTCTCAGTAGCTCTGGTGGTGAAGTGGGTTAAGACTGCCAACTGAAAGGCTGGCAGTTCGAATCTACCCATGGAGTAGCTCATTAGGAAAAGGATGGGGCAGTCTGCTTCCATAAAGATTTGCAGCCTTGGAAACTCTATAGACAGTTCTACTCTGTCCTATGAAGTCGCTACGAGTCAGAATCGACTCCATAGCAGTGAGGTTTGGTTTGGTTTGGTGGCTCTCAGGGCTGAGGTTGGTCCCACATCTCTATGGCAGGAGCCAGGACAGCGGACTCTTGGCTGATGCCTCTCTGATCTCTCCCTCTTACCTCCTTCCCTTCCAGATGATCCCTCCCGACCAGGAGCTGCTGGTGTGGTATGGGAACTCCCACAACACTTTCTTGGGGATTCCTGGTGTGCCTGGGCTAGAGGAGGAGCAGAAAAAGAACAAGCATGGTAGGTGTTTATCACAAGTCCTTGATGACAAAGGACCCAGGGAGGGAGAATGTGTGTGTGGCCAGGTTGTTCCTGGCCCCTGGGAATCCTGTCCAACCCTGGCAGCATCCAACAGATAGGACTTTCTGGTTGCAGAAGACTGATGCCCTGGAGCATATCACCATGATTTGTGCAGGGGGGAAAGGCAGTCCTCCTGCTTTCTAGCCAGATGGACTGTCCTGGGGACAGGTGGAAGGACACCAAAGAGGCATCAGAGTGTGGCAGGAGGAACACAGAGCTGGGCAGCAAGAGCCTAGAGGAGTTCCAGTTCTGCTATGCAACATTGGGAATTATTCTGTGCCTCATTTTCCCTGCTTATAAAGGACAGGTGTTGGACAAGATGATTTCTAAGCTCCCTTCCAGCTCTGACAATCTGTACATTTCACTGCTCTGACCCTGGTGCCTAGAACAGAGATGTTCAATATAAACTTGTTGAGTGGAGTGGGGGACAAAGAGGGTTCTGATGTGTGTTGGAGCACCCTGATCATCATGTTAGTGATCATTCACGCAGGACCTACTGCATGACAAGAATTGGCTAAACCATTTATAGTTATCATCTTGCTGAGTCCTCACAAAATCCTTGTGATGTTTGGTTATCCTTATTTCTATAAAGGATGAACCTCAGACTCATGAATCCTTGTTGAGCCATTCATTGCTCAACAACTTTACTTAGATTCTTACAACAGACCAATGGGGGTGATGCTATCATTACTCCTATTTCAGGGAAGAGAAAACTGAAGTGCGGTTTCCTAGTTTGTTTTTAAAATGTTAAATTTGTTGTTAAATGCCCTCAAGTCGATTCCAACTCATAGCAACCTTGAATAAGGTTTCTGAGGAGTGGCTGTGAGCTTGAACTAACTGCCAACGTTGTGGTTCAAACTGACCTTGCATTCCAGTGCATTAACCCACAGTGCCACACCAGGATTCCTAGTACATGGTTGTTGTTGGTGGTGGTAAGTGCCATCCAGTCGGTTCTGACTCATAGCGACCCTTTGAGGGTTTCTAAGGAGTAGCTGGTGAGTTTAAACTGCTGACCTGTGGTTCAAACCAACCTTGTGGTCAAGTGCTTTATTCCAGAGGCCACAGTAGACACTAAGTAAATATTTGTGGGATAAGTTTCATTTTTGCAGGGCTTGAGAGTGGTGGTGAGGTGGGGTGGTGGTTATAATAGCTACGCTTTATGGAAGGCTTACTAGCCAGGCAGTTTCCATACAAGGGCTTTGGTGTTGTTGTTAAGTGCCATCAAGTCTGTTCCTACACATAGCCACCTTGTATAGGGTTTTCAAGGAGTGGCCCAGCACCTTATCAGATTTGTAAGGTGCTTAACACGGAGTAAGCCTTCAGTAATGCCTGCTTTTTATGATCATCTCATGGAATAGTGCATAGCCCTGTTGGCTAGTATTGTTGTTATTGTTGTTAGGTGCCATTGAGTTGGTATCAACTTATAGTGACTCTATGCACAACAGAATGAAACACTGCCCGATCCTGGGCCAACCTCACAATTGTGGCCTCACTTGAGCCCATTGATGTTGCCATTTTACCAATCTGTATCACTGGGGGTCTTCCTCTTTTTCTCTGACCCTCCACCTTACCAAACATGATATCCTTCTCCAGCGACTGGTCCCTCCTGACAATATGTCCAAAGTATGAGAGAGGAAGTTTGGCTATCCTGGCCTCCAAGGAGCACTTTGGCTGCACTTCTTCCAGCATAGATCTGTTAGTTCTTTTGGAAGCCCATGGCACTTTCAATATTCTCCTCCAACACCATAACTCAAAAGCATCAATTCTTCTATGGTCTTCCTTATTCACTGTCCAGTTTTCGCATGCATATGAGTTTATTGAAAATACCATGGCTTGGGTAAAGCGCCACCTAGCTAGTATTAACAGTTAAGTGTCGTCGAGTCGGTTCCAACCCATAGCGACCCTTAGTGACCCATAGTGATAGGGTTTCCAAGGAGCAGCTGGTGAGCTAGAATCGCCCACCATGCAGTTCAAAAGGCTTTGCAGTCTGGTGCATTAACCCACAGCGCCACACATTAGGTTCCCATTTTACAGATGAGAAAACTGAGATGTAGTGAAGCTAAATTACTTCCTAGAGATCCCACAGCAATAATCTGGAGTCAACTCCGAACTAACCTCCAACCAAGGTCCTTTGCTGACCCTCCGATGCCTCTGCCAAAGACCCCAATCAAGCAACCATCCCTCTATTAGAGGCGGGCTGGGTACTGGGAGCGCAGCGTATAGGAGTGGGTGTGGGGATGGGGGATGTCTGGGACCGCGCAGCAACGACTCTAACGCGGTTATTCTCTCTCTCTCCCTCCTCCACCTGTTCCTCCTCACCTGCCCCGCCCCCTCCTGGGTCCCGCCCGCATATCCAGAGGACTTTCATCCCGCGGACTCTGCCGCGGGCACTGCCGGACGCATGCGCTGTGTCATCTGCCACCGCGGCTTCAACTCGCGCAGCAATCTGCGCTCGCACATGCGCATCCACACGCTGGACAAACCATTCGTGTGCCGCTTCTGCAACCGCCGCTTCAGCCAGTCGTCCACGCTGCGCAACCACGTGCGCCTGCACACGGGCGAGCGCCCATACAAGTGCCAGGTATGCCAGAGCGCCTACTCTCAGCTGGCTGGCCTGCGCGCCCATCAGAAGAGCGCGCGCCACCGGCCGCCCAGCGCCGCGTTGCAGACACACTCGCCCGCGTTGCCTGCCCCGCACGCGCACGCGCCCGCACTTGCAGCCGCCGCCGCAGCGCACCACCTGCCGGCCATGGTCCTGTGAGTGCCTCCCTTGCGCGCCAGCTGGGAGGAACCCCGACCTCTGCCTGGGGGGCCTCGGCTCGGCAGCCGGGGGAGCGTGGGGCCCGGCTCTGCAGGTGCGCTGCCGAAATGATCTCCCAGGCACATTCTTCGCCCCGTTTTGCATATAAGAACACTGAGGGGTGACGCCACCCTGCTGGCTCGGCTTCTCACCCCACCCCCCCGAGGCCGCCGCCCTTCCGGGTAGTTTACCCGCCCTGCCCCACCCCGAGTCTCCTTCCTTCTGTCAAGTTGGCCACCCAGGTTGACATTCCTCTCGTGGGTGGCAGAAGAGGGGCCGAGAGTCTCCAAGGGGCCATGTCGGAGGAAAAAGGGAGCTCCCTGTTCGTAATGGAGGGGGCTCGAATAATTTAGGGGCGTGGTAGTGGCTTAAAGGTGGTAGCCGCTCACGTTTCCTCCTGGGACTGGTGTTCTGCAGCGTCAGGAGTCATGAACAAGACTTTGAGAATTGTGGCCCAGGAACAGCCAAGGAGATGATTTCGGGCCAGAAAAGCCTGGGTGAGACCTGGACAGAGGAGCCGGTCTGATTACCTTTCCCCAAAACCTGGTTCCCCAATGATGATGGAAGCACAAATGCTTGGCAGTGTGCCTGGCTTGTTGAGGGAGAGATTTAAATAATCACTTGTGGTACCCTGTGCAAGGCCGTGTCACTTTCTGGACCTTAGTTTCCCTATCTGTAAAATGAGGGAGTTGGCAAGTACCACTCACGTCAAATTTGGGAAGGGGAAAGTTTCCCCTCCTTAAGGCTGGTTTAGAACTCCCTTAGACAGGCAAGGTAGGAACCCCTTACCTTTTCCCCAAACCCCGGCCTTTAGCGCCCTCTGGTGTCGCCTCTTCCATTTTGCAGTCATTTACCGCAAGCTCTGTAGGGCGTTTTGTAAAATAAACATAATACTATTAATGAAAAGTATAAAATGTATAGAGTTTTCAAGAAACTGTGTTCTACTTCCAGAAAATGGTCACTTTAAATTTGTAAATATTTATCTAAAATGATATTTGCAAAACTGTGATATATATTAATTGATTGTATATGTACAACTGTAAATATATTTGTACCTCTCTTGTATTCTAAAATAAAAATTACTTGGAACATTTATCACTTCGCATCTGAATTGGTAAACACTTTTGCTTGCATGAAAGTGAAATATCATTAGGGCCTAGGAGTTGGAGAGGGGGCCACAAGAATTGTTCCACTTACTCGTTTTGAAAGTCACCATTGTCTTGTCCCTAAGGAAAATTCCATCTGCCATAACTGAACTGTCCACTCCCAAAGAGATTAGCAACAGTGTAAAGAAATCTCAGAAGGAGCCAGGAAGCTTTCTTCTGATTTCCAGCTGACTCTCAAATGTCAATGCCTTACTTTACTTCCCCCAAATCTTTATTTTTTTAATTTTTGTTGCCAACTTGAAGGAGTTCAAGCAGTCAATGGGAGCAGGCCAAGATGATGACCAAGGTTCCTCCCAATGCCTCGAATCTCTGGATACTTAAGTCACCTGTTCCCATACCCTCTTAAAGAAAATCACGAAGGCCATCAAGAAAGGACCATAAAGGGCTAGGCCCCAACTCTCCTCTCCAGGACTCCTGGCCAAAGGAGGTGTGTGCACTGGGGAGTGTGAATTCACACCTGTGTTTGTACATATGCCAGTACATGTAACCACTGGATGGACGTGCTTTCAGGCTTCTCAGGGCTACATCTCTCTATGCATCCTCCTGCAATGTGTCGGTTTCCCATACTCACCCCTGCTCTTTCAAGTTCACTCTTGTACCCACAGGCCATCTCCATTTGTGTATTTCCCAATATGGACTCCTTTGTGGGAGTCATCTCAAACCCTGGCAGGTGGGGGCCCAGGCAGAAAAGTACACTTGTGTCCACTTGCAGGTCCCATCTGGGTTTTCCTCCCTACAGCTGGCAACAGAGTCATCCTTGATCTTTGATCATGAGCTTTACCTCTCCTTTTTGTTTTTTTAAGAGGCAGTCAATTCTATTAATATATTCATTATTTATTTATTTTAGGTAAAATACAGCCCCCAAAACCCTAACCCACTGCCATGAAGTCAAGTCCACTCATAGCTACCCTATAGGACAAAGTGGAACTGCTGCTTAGGGTATCTGACATGATAATTCTACACAAGAGCAGACAGCCTCATCTTTCTCCCATGGTGGATTTGAACCACTGACCTTTCAGTTAGCAACCCAATGCTTAGCCCCCAGCACCATCAAGCTTTCTTATTAACAAAGTTTACCATTTTAATAAATTTTTACTATAATTCCAGGTGTTGTTAGATACAGTCACAATGCTGGCTATTTCTAAATCCTTTTTACCATCCCAAATGGAAACTCTATATGTATTAAGCAATAATTCCCATTGCTTCCCTACCCCTCCACTTTCTATGCATTTGTCTGTTGTTGTTGTTAGGTGCCATTCAGTCAGTACCAACCTATAGCGATCTTATGCACAGCAGAACGAAACACTGCTGGATCCTAGGCCAACCTCATTACTGTTGCCATGCTTGAGTCCATCGATGATGCCACTTGGCCAATCCATTTTGTTGGGGGTCTTCCTCTTTTTCTCTGACCCTCTACCTTATCAAACATGATGTCCTTTTCCAGCGACTGGTCCCTCCTGACAATATGTCCCAAGTATGAGAGACGAAGTTTGGCCATCTTGGCCTCCAAGGAGTACTCTGGCTGCACTTCTTCCAAAACGGATCTATTGGTTCTTGTGACAGTCCATGGAACTTTCAACATTCTCCTCCAACACCGTGACTCAAAAGCATCAATTCTTCTACAGTCTTCCTTATTCACAGTTCAGCTTTTACATGCATGAGTTTATTGAAAATACCATGGCTTGGATCAGGCACACCTTAGTCCTCAAGCATGACATCTTTGCTCTTCAACACTTTAAAAAAGTCTTGAGTAGCAGATTTGCCCAATGCAATACATCATTTGATTTCTTAACTGCTGCTTCCATGAGTGTTGATAGTTGAGCCAAGAAGAATGAAGCCCATGACAACTTCAATCTTTTCTCTATTGATAAGAATGTTGTTTATTGGTCCAGTGGTGAGGATTTTTGTTTTCTTTACATTGAGATGTAATCCATACTGAAGGCTGTGCTCTTTGATCTTCGTCAGTAATTATTTTAAGTCCTCTTCACTTTCAGCAAGCAAGGTTGTATCATCTGCATATCGCAGGTTGTTAATGAGTCTTCCTCCAATCCTGATGCCACGTTTTTCTTCATAGAACCCAGCTTCTCGTATTATTTGCTTAGCATACAGGTTGAATAAGTATGGTGAAAGAATACAACCTTGTTGCACATCTTTTTAAATATTAAACCATTCAGTGTTCCCATGTTCTGTTTGAACAACTGCTTCTTGGTCCAGGTACAGATTCGTCATGAGCACAATTAAGTGTTACAGAATACTCATACTTCGCAATGTTGTCCACAGCTTGTAATGATCCAAGCTTTCTCATTGGGGGTTTTCCTCTTTTCATATTACCTCTCCTTTAATAGCACACCACTAGGCTTCCCATGGCCCCTGGCACTACCCTCCACACACTATACCCACCACCAGGCCCCTCATCCACACAGCCAAATTTATGTGTCCTGAGTCACCTTCCTTCTGCATGATGATGTTGCTGTTGTTGTTAAGTGCTGTAGAGTCTGTTCAGACTTACAGTGACCATGTATAGGGTTTCCTACAAACAGCTGGTGGGTTGAGCCGACCTTGCTTAGATACCATCCTGGATCACATGTCATATCTCCCAGAGAGTAATGCTCAAATAAGGTAAAATGCTGGCTTTCTGAAGCATGAGTCAGACTTAAGAGATGTCAGTAGGGTCCTTGATCAAAAACCTAAATCGCTCTTTATAGATATTTCTGTTTGGTTCTAGCTAACATAAGCGATGTTTGTGCACATGCACGTGCTCCAGAACCTGCCTGGTGGCACTGAGCTATAGTTGCAGGCCGAGGTACATTTGGCATGCTAACTGACCTGCTTCTGCAGATGTTTGCCAGGGCCTGCACTGGGCACTAGGGATACAAGGATGAACAAATAGGACTCGTGGTCATGGGAAACTCGCACCTCTTACCTAGCTTGTGTTTCCAGCAGAAACCTTGACCCATGTTGCTGAATGAGAATTCCCAGGACAAAAACATATGAACACAACCACAGCATTTTATGTGGACCAATCCTGGCTTAAAAGATGTAAATGAATGCGTTCTGGGAACCCTGCCAACAACCTCATGAGGCCAGTGCTCTTTTTATGTCCATTTGAAGTATAAGGAAACTGAGGCATTGACAGAGCAAAGTCATTCAGTGGCATCCCTTAGCGGGAGAATGACAGATCATGCTCCACCATGGGTGTCTGACTCCCAGGGACACTAACGTGTACCATCCCCTCCCATTCAGTCCATAGATTCAATCCAAAGGACTTAATGAATTTCCCAGAGGGATGCAGTATAGGCTAGCACTGTATCCTGTGGCTTTGTAAAACTCACTTATTAGTTGCCGTGGCTTTTTGTAGATTCTCAGGACTTTCTATGTACAGCATTATGTTGTTTGTGAATAAAGATAGTTTTATTTCTTCCTTTCTAATTCGGATACCTTTTATTTATTTTTCTTGTCTTATGTCATGGACCAGGACCTTGAGTAGACGGACTCTAGAGGCCAGGTTCACATCCCAGCTCTGCTACACACCAGATGTGTGCATTTGGGCAAGCCAACTAATGTCTGTGTATCTCAGTCCACTCATGTGGAAAATGGGGAGAAATTTAGTTTCTAAGGATCTTTTGAGGTTAAATGGGATAATGCATATAGATGGATAAAGTATATGACCCATAGTAAGTGCTCAATAAATGCAAGTTGTTATTCGTATATATGGATGCCTTGATGTGTAGGCACCTGTCAGAGGGCATCTGAGACAGCTGTTCACAGATTTCTCTAACTCTTTGCTATATTCAT